GGGATGGGTGAGCGGGCAGGCCAGAAGGTGAGCAACGCTGTGGCTGTCCCCGGCCGTAGCTCAGCTGCTTGGGGAGAAGGTGGCTGGGGCTGATGGTGGGAGAAGGAGCTGCCCGGGGCTGGACGACGGCAGCAGCATGGCCACATGTGGACGTGTTTGTCCCTGAGAGCCTGGCACAGGTGCAGCAATGTCAGGATGGCAACCAGTGGACCAAGGGGCACCTGGCTTGGCCTCCCCCGCACGGCAGGTGCTGGACTCGGGAGCACTGGTCCCCCCAGAGCCCTTGCTATGAGGGCCCAACCCTGACCGGAATTGTCTGGCTTCTGTTCACCAGCGACACATGCTTTGGCTGTGTTGCCACCCACAGGCCCCATCCACACCACACTAGGGCTTCCAGCCTTCATCACTAGGCTGCGAGAAACCTCTTTCCTTCACACAGAGCTCTGCCTCAAGCATTGTGCCACAACAGACGACAGACCAAGTGTACTTTACCGCTGACCCAATCTGCTGGATGACAGCTGAGGACGTAGCTGGTCAGTCACAGAGGGTTAGAGGCATGGCATGGGCATCGGGGCCAGGCAGCAGAGGTGGAGTGGACATATGGGGGTGACCCATTGACCAGCCCTGTGGCAAGCCTGTGACCTACTCTAAAGAACTCAGGGCACACAGGGTGACGAGCTGGTACTAGTACCCAGAACTGACCCCTAGGATTCCCTAGTACCCTCAGGATTCCTGTTGACCAGGGGACCAGCTGAGCTGCATCCCCGGGACTCGGCACTTTTCCAGGCTGTGTCCAGGGCCTGCCAGGCAAGGCTGCACCCAGATGCTGCCTGAATCTTTCTCTCTACACCCTGACTGCTGCTTGCTGGAAATTTAATAACTTCAAAAAGGATTGATTTTCTTAGTCAAATATGATTCCTGTGGGAAACACACAAACAAACCAGAGTGTAATATTTCTGCCAAAAATAAGGCAGAGGAAGTGGAATTTTAGGAAGTTTCCATCCCATAGCAGCCAGGCAACAATGGAAGGAAAGTGAGCAAATAGGACAAGAGAGAGTCAGACGAGACAGAGCGACCCCCGGCATGCGGGGCTCAGCGTAGATAAGTAAGCGCCACACTCCAGGGAAAGGACAGAGGGCTTGGCTAGAGTCCTTTGTTTTAGAGTCAATTCAGTTATTTACAAGAGACCAGAAAACAAATATAAACCTACAGATAGGTTAGAAAATAGCAGGATATAATTATGAAAGAACAGAGTGTTCAGGACAGATAGATGTTACTACAGTACAGAAACCATTCATAATTTGCAAAAGACCAGTAGACTGGAAAGATCATTTCCATGCCCTGCAGAGCAGAAATGCACAAGGCAGGCATCTACCTGCCTCTCTGTCGCTGGCAGAACAGGGCCGCGGAAACCTTGAGCAACTCGGGTTACCAATGCTTCCCAAGAACAGCTTCTACACAGCCGCTGCCTTATAACACCACCACCTCAGGGTGGGGCGGCCTTGGTCACACTGCCTGCCCGCTATGTGTGCAGGGCTCTGCTTCCTGGGTGGCCGTGCAGCCCCCTCTGCATGCACAGTCTGTGTGTGTCTTCTGCAAGCTGTGCCTGGACGAGCCTTACAGGAAGAGGGTGATTTGCATCACTAACATGCGTGGACTTTCTCAGTACTCTCGCCCTACCCGGGCCTTGGAGCCACAGAAATGGGTGTGAGTAAGACAGAGAGCCACCTTCTCCCGGTCCTGTCTGACCTTCACACTCTCTGGGCACTAGACAGGGAGCTGCTGCTTCTGATTACAAAACCCCAGCACCTTCTCAGGCTCCCCCAAACCCAAGTGTGCCTTCCAGCAGAGCAGAGGGGCCCCATGAGCAGCCCAGGGCAGGGCAAGGTGGCTTCACGACTCCCGAGTTCTTCTCCTCCTCACCACACGGTGTTCCTGACAGCCCCTCTATGTGATAGATGGGCGTCCCTGGCCCAGATACTGGAGTTCCCTGCCAGGGTGAATAGACAGTGGCAGAACCCTGTGGCAGCATGGCTGCCCTTTGCAGCTGGGCACAACACCTGCTGGAGCACCTGCTGCAACACCTGCACGCCCGAACAGCTGGAACAGGAGGTGCAGCTGCCCGGACCTGCATGTGGACAAGGCCTCCCAGGCAAGAGGATGACACGTTCTCCCAGTTCCAATATAAATTTCCTTTTCTTTCATTTTGCTTTTGTGGCGCTAGGAATTGAATCCAGAGCCTTTGTAGTGTTATATTCCCAGATTTTTTTTTTTTTTTGCTTTAATTTTTAAGATTTTGAAACAGGGTCTCACTAGATCTCCCAGATTGGACTATACTCTCAGTCCTCCTGCCTCAGAGTGCTGTGATTACAGCTGTGCAGCATGCCCTCCCACTGAGTGCTTACCTTGATTGCTTTTTCTGTTAACTGTCTTGCCATTTTGTATCTGTCTATTTTGGGGGAAGAAGTGGAAGCTCGAGAATTGCCTTGTTTTAATTCTGTAGAAGAAACACAAACCAAAGGAAACAGTGTCCGGGCTGTTTGGTCAGCTGGTGACTCCGACACCAGATACCAGGACACAGATGCCAGCGGCCACCATTGCCCACCTTCCCAGGCCACACTCGCCCGCACCTGGCCCAGGCCCTGGCAGCTCTTCTGCCCCCTTCGCCCCTGCCACCTCTCCCATGCTGCACCCTGCTATTATGGTTTAGATCTAGATGTCCTCACAGGCCCCTGTGCTGAGGGCAGAGCTCTGGAAGGAGATTTGACTGTGCGGACGGACGGGCGCTGTGTGCCTCAGTGGATTCACCCACAGTTACGGCACCGCAAGGAGCCGGGGCCCTGGGCTGTGCCTGTGGAGGGTGCAGCTCTGGCTCCTCCCTTTCCTTTGTGCCTCCTAGCTGCCATGGTGTGAGCAACTGCCCCTCCTCTATTGGGCTCCTACCTTGGTGCCAGCTGACCATGGACCGAACACACTGAAGCCATGAGCCCCAACAAGCCTCTCCTCTCTTACTCAGTAGGTACTGGGTGTTTTGTCCCAGAAATGTGACAATGACAAGCGCACTTCCTCACCCTCTCACCCTACCCCCATGCCTGTCCCAGCCACTCTGGGACATGAGATCCTCTCCTGACCTCTCAAATCTGTGGTCAGGGCATGAGTGGCTCTCTCAGGCCCCTGACCCCAGGTTGGCAGATCTTCTCCAGGGGCATCACCTGTTGCCCACAGCATGGCCTAAGATGGCCCAGTGTTTGCCTGGCATCAGGCCCCTCTTGGAATCTCTGACCCAGCAACTGAGATCCCCACAAGCACACTCCAAGGCAGCAGTGCCCGGGCTCCACACTATGCCTGACCCTCTCATGTGCCCTCTCTGGACCCACACCTGGTGTGCTCCCCCCGGCCCAGCTCCAATTCAGTGCACAATGGGGGATGTGTGCGTTAACACAGGGACCACATGCACCCATCAGCTGGCCAGGGGAAGGAGATATTGGCCGTTGGGAGAACACAAGCAGCAGCAGGTCCTCCAAGGGGAACCCGTGCCCGCCTGCAGTAGCAGCATCACTGAGAGGACTTCAGGTGTTCACCAAAGGGCACGGACCAAGGCTGACTAGGTAACAGCCTGTGCTGGGCACGGTGAGAGCCCAGGTGGAGTGACCCATGGGGAGCAGGCCTGGCAGCCTGTGGCCCCCTCCTTGGGGCAGTCCTACATTAGCTGTGACCTGGACACCAGCCCCCACCCAGATGGGGCCCAGGGTGGGAGGACAGGAACACACAGTACTCACTTTCTCCTTTGCCAGCCCCATCTGACGATGTGGATGACAGCCGGGTCCTCTCCACCAGTTCCATGCCCCTCCTGGTCAGCTTGTACTTCCTGCCACAGGACCCTGGGGACAGCACCAGATGTGAGGAGTGTAGGGGACAGGAGTAATGTTCCAGGCAGGGAAGGTCAGGGGTCCAGGGACAGGTCTGGAGGTGGGGGGACAGAGTTGGGTGATGTACCTATGATGGAGGAAAGGTCTGGGTGGGTGAAAAGGTCAAAGGTCACAGGGGTCAAATGTTAGGGCAGTTGGGTGAGGGAGAGGTCAGGGGTCAGGGGTCAGGCAGACAGGAGAGGGTTTGGGAGGTTAGGCACGAGGACACATCAGGAGTCAGAGAGGAGGTCTGGGATGACGTAGACAGGACAGGACTGGGGGTGGGGACTTCAGTCTGGGTCAGGAGTCACGTCTGGAGGTCTTGGGTTGGGCATCAGGTCTGAGTCCTGGAGGAAAGGGTCCTGCGGTTCCAAGGGAAGGGTTCCTGGCGTGCGGGATGGGTGGAGTCAGGGTTTTTGGTCCTCTCCTCTGGTGCTCACCCTTCAGTCTGTGGTGACCCCTGGGGACCAGGTGATGGCCAGCGTGGGGCGTGGGGCTGCGCGGACGGTACGGTGAGGTGCAGCGGTTTGCAGGGAGTGCGGGATCCTGTTTGGGTGGATGTCCGGGTCGTGATCCCGATCCAGACCCGGGTTTGGTTCTGGGTCTAGTTCCAAGTCGGAGTCTGGGTCCTGGGCTGCGGTCCTGGGCATGGGGTTTGGGTCGGGGTCCAGGTCTGGGCTCGGGTCGAGGGCCCAGTCCAGTTCCTAGTCGGGATCCCAGTCCCGGGCTGCAGTCCTGGGCACGGGGTCCACGGCGCGGAACCGCGTGAGCCATGCGTCGGGAGCGCGAGGAGTGGCCAGGACCCCGCCTGGCGCTCGGTGGAGGCGTGGCGGTAGTCAGGTCACGAAGTCCCAGGGTCACAAAGAGCGGGTCACACCCAACCTCCCTGTCACGGCCCCGCCCCCTGCCGGCTTGGGGGTGTATGGTATCCCCCCAGCCCTTCCCCCCAGACTGTACTCCCTGAGTCCTCTTGTTGGCCGGCGCTGCCCCCTTACAGGTAGGGGGCAGTGGAGGGTCAGGAGTGGCTTCGCTACCGGTAGGGTCACTCCTGGGAGACTACCACCACCCAGTGTCCCAAGGGCCCCTAGGTCTTGAGCCAACTGTGACTTGGTCCCCCACATCCTCTGCCCACTTCTTTTTTGTCCCCATCTCCAGCTGGCACCCAGGTGAGGAAAGGCCAGCCCATCCCACCAGGGCCTCGGTGTTGGCTCCCAAGCTGTTTTGCCCTGCTGGGTACCGGGGCAGCCTCTCCTGAGCTGGCCGTGCCTTCCAACTTTGTGGTCTTCACCTTCCTCGGCCATCTGAATCAAGGACACGTTGGGAGTGCCCCCCCCCCAGAACCCCACATCAGGTCCTCTGAGATCAGGCATTAGATAGGTGGCTGGCCACAGTGCAGGTTAGTGTTTATTGTTCACAAAGATCAAACTACCCCAAACTGAAATGTAAATTAAAAGAGACAATTCAAAAAACGAAAACTTTTTTAAGTGTTTGGGTATTTCTAAGCACTCTAAAATGAGAAAGCACAAGCCATCCCCGCTGCTTCGGCTGCCTCATTCTGGCTCTAAATGTTGGACTCTCTGGTCCCTCAGGTGACTGTGCTCCACCTGTCATGTATGCTGGCGTCCCAGGTCAGAGGTGGGAAGGCTAGGACATCCTCCTGTGCACTCGGCAGGCCATCCCACCAGTCTTCATGTCCCAGGTCTACAGGTCTTTTGTCCCTAAGGGCCTCAGGCCACAAGGTTCACTCCAGGCCTCAGTACTGCTCCACGGAGAGCAAACTAGCACAGCCAGTTCCATGAGAACACGTGTTCATGTCTTCTAGTTTTTACAGAACGCCTGGCCCCTGTACTTGCTGGTATCTGTATTGCTGAAAAACGCCAGGTGACCACCTGGGATGCAAGGACGGTACTCAACAAACTCCAAAGTTAACGTCACCCAAACAGCCTAGCTGGCAGGGGTGGCAGACGGGCCCTGTGTGGGTGTGACAGTGCCTGAGATACAGGCACACCATTCTCAGGTTGGGAGGCACTGAACCAGGCTGGACGCAGGTGAAGTGGGATGAGTAAAGGAGGTGGAAGAGCTGGGACACAGGTGTCCCCCAGTTCACAGAAGGAGTTAGTCCCTCATGAGCAGGCCAGATATGGAGGGAGGGGCTGTTTCAGCTGTCGTTGTCACCAAGTGGTCAGTCACAAAGGCTGAAACTCAGTCCCACCCCAGGGGACAATGAACTGTCACAGTGGCTTTGCAAAGCTTCCCTGGATGTGTGGACACTCTAGGACATTGCTGGGCCAGGGAAAGGTGACCTTTTGCAGGGACTGGCACCTGCTCCTAGGAAGAGTGGGCAGGACCTGGGTGTGGACTTCAGGCGGCAATGACCGTGGCAGCCTGGAGGAGGGTGCCCTGGATGCACCTTGCCCTTATTGGTGGGAAACTTTGTGGCAGGCAATTGGAGAGGGCATCTCGGAAGGAAAGGCCCAGACTCAGCAGTGCCTACAGGGTAGCGCAGGGCGCACAGGCAAAGCCAGGCCAAGGTCCACCGTCCACCCAAACTCCTCTGTTCACAGTCCTGGAGCCTCTCTGCGCCCAGGAGTCTTCCCGCCGCCGCCCCCCATGCAGTGAGGCCACCTGGAGTTTGAGCTCTACCCAACGAGACAAAGAACCATCGCCATTTGCCTATTTCAAAGTTAAACTATGGTAAGAAACAAGGCCCCCTCACAACCTGGGCTGCCCTAAAGGGAGGAGGAGGACGTGTTAGAAAGGAGGGGCTGTAGGACTGAGTCTGTAGGCTGAATGCGCTGCGGGCCGGGCGCACGCCACACACAGATCTTCCCCGTCCTGCAGTCACTGGGCCATCTGCACCACTACAGCTCGCCAGGCTTTTTCTTTGTCAAACTCCTTCAGGGGGCTTCTGGCCACCTGTGATAGAGACAGGGACAGAATCACCAGGGCTGCCCCTGCAGAGGGCACACCTTGCCAGGGCCATACAGGGGTGGCATCCTGCATTAAAAGTTTGTCTGTGAAGTAAGGGAGGAAGTCCTGGAGCCGCCAGAAAAGAGGAAAACCGGCTCACTCTCCTAGCAATGCCTCAGCCCTCACACTCTCTGTGGCGGGAGCAGGCCTGCACCTGGCAGGCAAAAGAAAGGACTGCTGACCCTGAGGTGACAGGGTAATGTCCCTGCAAACTATTCACCTGACTCTGCACCTTGCTGGCTGTGACACAAACCCGGGGTGTCTCACTTAGGTGTGGGGACAGAGCTGGGAGCCCAAAGCCAGGGCCAGCCTGGGTCCCTCTCTGGGGCACAGAGCACGTGAGGGCAGTGGGCATGTTTGCTCAGGGATGACAGCACCAGAACAGGTGGTCCACGGGGAGGAGCCAGCCCCCAACTTTCACTTGTGGGGGACATTGGGATATAGGGCTGAGGTGAGGACAAGAGGCAGAGTCTAGAGGAGAGGGTTTTGTCCAGGTGGTGTGTCCTGGCTAAAGGGCTAGACTGCGCGGTGCCCAGTGCAGGAAGCCCTGTGTGCCAGGCTGGGTGGGCACAAACTCCCCTGAAGGGCCAGTGTGGAAGCCCTGGGCCTCTGGGGGCCTTGCAAGTCTTGTGGGTACCTACAAGCCGAGACTGAGCACCCCAAGGCCAGACTGTTTCTCAGGAATGGGGGAATGGGCTTGTGTGTACCTTGTTTTAAAAATAACATATTTCACTTTTTAACTTTTCAAGATTTTCCTGGGGTATTTTATAAACACAGAGTGGTATGGAGGCCACCCCATGCCCCTGGAGGCCCGGGCTAGTCACTCACCTCCCCTGTGGGGCGCTCCTGTGGGCTGGCCGGGGCCTCCCAGGGCAGGCCCTGCAGCCTGGCACTGGCCTTGAAGCTCACACATAGCACAGCGGTGCCCGTGTTGAGGCCGCCCTGCAGGAGCAGCACCAGCAGCAGCAGCAGCAGCAGCACATCGTAGGCCTGCAGGCAGAGCAAGGCATGAGCCCCCATGTGGCTACCAGACCCGTGGCCCCCGTGGACACTCCCGCTGCCCTAGGCCCTCCTTGGATCAGTCATGTCCACCACGCCATGCCCTGGTGGCCCAGACAAGGGCATTCTCCCCTTGTCAGCAGCCTGGACAGCAACCATCCCAGCTCCCCCAGTCCTGCGAGGACTCCTGTGGGCCTGGTTCAGCCACAGGCAGAAAAGTGCAGAGCCCTGTGGATGTGCCACTGCCTCCTAGCCTCACGACCCCCAGGAGAGCCCAGGACAGACCACCGTGGCTCACACTGGGTGTACACTTGCAGAAGAGACTGCACCCTCTATCACGGGTCACAGGAAACACTGTGAGCTATAGCCCAACGCCAACAGAGAAGTAGTGACGGAGTCAGCATACACACACAAGGAACTGTCACTCCTGAGGGCCCCGAGCACAACGGGGAGCAGCAGCCAGGAGACATCAGCATGGTCCCCAGTTTCCTGGTTAGGAAATGGGGGTGCCCTTCAGCAGCTGAGGTGCTCCCCATCCTGCCCCAGGGAGCTAGCGGACACGTAGAGTGTCATAGATGCATCTTCTCGGATCCTGTAGCTCCTCTCCCAGCTAATTATCCTGGAAATAGTTAGCTCGGATTCCAACTGGAGGCCTTCTACAAGATTGATTACCAGGACTCATTCCCAATAGGGGACACTAAATATAACCGAGCTGCCGTCCTAGGGCCAGCTTGGGCCAGCGAGTTATATGAGCAGAGTAGTGGGGAAGGGGCCCAGAAAATAGCAGAATAAACCGTGCAGAAGAGTGCTTATTGCGTGCGACCTGCCTTGGGGGAGGGAAATGACTTACTGCTTCTGCCTACGAGCGGGGCAGGGGGACAGGGCTGGCTCCTCGGCTTCTGAGTGACCTGCCTCAGCTTTGGCTTTTTTTTTTTTTTTTTTTTAATTTTTTTTTTTTTTTTTTAACATTTATTTATTGTGTGTGTGTGGCCAGCTCAGCCCACCAGGGGGCGCGGCTGGCTGGCATGTGGTGCTGGAGGATCGAACCGCGGTCCCTGTGCTTTGCCGAGCTTGTTCCAAGTAGGTGCTTTAGACCACTGAGCCATCTTTCCAGCCCCAGCTTTGGCTTTGGAACCATGCAAATTGTGTGTGATATCTAAAAATATCATTTAAAAAGGGAAAAAGGGACTGCAGAGATAGCTCAGTGGTCTAAGCACCTGCCTAGGCAAGGGCAAGGAGCCGGGTTTGATCCCTGGTACCCCATGCTGAGCTGGCCACCAAGACTGGGCCTGGTGGCACATGCCTATAATCCCAGTGCTGGGGAGGTTGAAAATAGGAGGATCACTATGAGTCTGAGCTGTGTAGCAAGATCCTGGACCAAATACATAAAATTAAAAACAAACAAAAAAAAAAAAAAAAAAAGAAGAAGAGGGGAAAAAGAACTAAACCTTAAAACTGAATCCAACTAGATGCCACTGGACAACCATCTCAAATCAACAGCACAAACAAACAAAGACGGGACTGCCGCACAGAGCAAGGGGCTGCTCCTTCTAGGGTGATACGACGGTAGATATACGGCTCCACTTCGTTCAGTCGGCGGCTGCAGCAGTGACGATGATCTCTCGTACCTGAGAACAATTTCGTGTGCCTTAAAAGATGAAGGAAGACAGTGGCTGGGTGTAGGTCAGTGATAAAGGGCTTGCCCGGCAGCACACAGCGCTGGGTTTGCGTCCTAACACCACAAAATTAGCAGCCTAGTAAGGGCCCCGAGTGGTAGGGAAACAGTTCTACTCTGAAGTAAGAGCAAAGAGATGCAACTTTAAATGTTTTTTCCTTTAAAAAAGGCCTGGCGTGGCCCCAGCCACTGAGCCGCCACTGAGGACTCAGCTGCCTCCCCCTTGAGGGCCTGCTCCCCAGCAATCCGTCCCGCCCTGTCCACCTTCTCCCGCAGCCGCCTACTGCACGCTGTTTCCACTGAGGAAACGGAACTGTATCGTGTGTCCACTATCGAGAACCTCCACTCTTTCGACCCCTTTGCTGATGCAAGTAAGGGTGAGGACCTGCTTCCTGCTGGCACTGAGGATTATATCCATATAAGAGTCCAACAGAGAGGGGCCAGGGAGATGGCTCAGTAGAATAAGCACTTGCCTGGCAAGTGCAAAGTCCTCGGTTCAATCCCTGGTACCGTCAAAAAAAAAAAAGAGAAATGGCAGGAAGACCTTTACCACCGTCCAAGGGATTGCTGATTATGATTCAGAAGAAATTTGCCTGCAATGGTACTGTCACGGAGCATCCACAATACAGAGAAGTAATCCAGCTCCAGGGTGACCGGCGCAGGAAGGCATGCCAGTTCCCGGTAGAGAACGGCCTGACCAAGGGCGACAGCTGAAGGTTCACACGCCTCGAGTTCTCCAGCTCACTGAAGCTCTCAGGAGGGTGTCCTTGCGATGGAGCACCCCTTCAGTGTCTTGTCACGAGTTAAAGACCTCACAGCTTGTATAATGTATCCACTGGGGTCCACTTTCACTTAGATTCCTGTAACTCCTCCATGCAATAAACTGAAAAGAGCCACGAAAAATGAAAAGACCTGGTTTGTTAAACTGGAGTTAGAAATACTGATGGGAGACGCGTGGTCTTTCACATGTGTGCCTTCCTTCCAGCTGTCCACGGAAAGGCTCAGCCGCGCTGCTCCTGAGGAAGTCCACAAGCCTGGCCTCTAGATCTGCGTTTGGTCCCCCACCCAAGGCACAGGCACCTGTGACGGACGGAGCCAGTGTCCCCAGGAGCAGAGTCCCGCTGGCCACATCTGGGCCACGCTGAGGGTGCTCATAACACTAAAAACGTTGAAAACTGGTGCGTCCTCAGCACTGTCCCACAGAAAGAGAAAGCACATGCCACACACTCGCCTCGTGGGGGGAAGCGGCCTTGCCTTCCCTCCGCTCACAGGTGAGAAAGTGCCGAGAGGACCAGCGCCAACAGCAACCTCGGGGAGGGGACACCACGTGAAGCCAGAGCTGAGTACCACAAGAACCACGTGCTCTGGAGAGGGAGCACAGGACATGGGCCCAGAGCTGGGGGGAGGAGGGCCCTGCACAGAGAGCCCAGGGCCACCCAACACCCAGCCCAAGGGCCCCGCACCTGGGCTGAACACTGAGATGACGCTGACCGCGTGGGGGGTGGGGATGGCGGTGCAACTTGCAGAGGACTGCTCTTTAGAAATGCCAAAGTGTAAAAAGCTGTGAGACAGGTAGTGCCCACTACGGTGGGACGGAAGGCTCAGACAACAAAATGAGGCCCGGGGCCAGTAAACGATGACCACAGGTGCCACAGACACGTTGCCACAGACCCACCACGAGCGCCCTGTAGGATCAGAAAAGCAAGGAAAGGTGCCTGAAGTGTGACACTGTTAGCAAGAAAAAACAGGCTCTCTGCTTCACTCGCTCCTGGTCAGCCTGCAGCCCTCCTCGTGGGGCTGCACAGCCGGGAGCTCGGTGCTGGTCCCCCGGCTTCGCTGCAACGACACCTCCGACTGCAGGGCACGATGACAGCAGCCTGCCTACTTCTGGGGACCTGAAGGCCACTCTGGCTGAAACACGGACTCTTCCTGCCTGCAGAGGTCTGGTGGGCGGCTGGAGCGGGGCGCAGGCTGGCTGCTCTGTCGTCTGGGCCGCCACAGCCCGTGGGCCAGTCTCCTCAGCTCTGCGTGTGGACGCTGACACACTGACCATCTGGAGATGCTCTATCCAAGGCTGCAGGACGAGGTTAACTGTCCATTGCCCACTGGGCCCGGATGCGTTTTCACTTCTGTCTCTCCCCTCCTTCCCGTGCCCAGCCCCACCCTGCTTCAGAAGCCACCAACACCCAGGCCCCTGCTGTCCTTCTGTCCGCAGGCCTGGGTCCACAGGCCGGATGTTTGTGCAGGATGATGGTGCCAGACAAGGAAGATCCAGCAGCCTCTGGGCTGAGACGACTGAGTCCAGCCAGAAGAAAGATTTTTGGAGCCGTGACCCTGGCCCACGAGAATCACCAGGCTTCCACCCCCAAGCCCCCCCAAATCCATAAATCCCGCTGCCTGCTTCACTCGCCTAGCAGCAGCTCGGTCGCTCTGCGGAGCAGCTGCTGGCTCCCTCCGGCCTCAGCCCCAGCCAGCCTCAGCCCCCAGCCCAGCCCAGCTTTGCTGGGTAGCAGCAAGCTTGAGGTAACTGGCCCGGTCTTGTGTCCCCCATCACTGCGTCCAAAGGTTTCTTCACCTAGATTCAAGGGAAGGGTCCAGCTATCAAAATCTGACACTCACTTTCAGATGGTCTGTCCACGTCTACATCGGCCGTGTGCACACTGGGTGACCCACTGAGGCCAGCCCTGGCATACACCTGTAGCTCCCAGGGAGGCTGGGCCAGGAAGAGCCCAAGAGGCTCCCTCCGGAGATACTTCATACAGGGAAGGTACAAAGCACAACACTCGAGTGTCCTCAGATAGATGTGTACACTCTAAGCAACATGGTCTGAAATCTAAAGCAGCTCCTCAGAAACGTGTGGCTGCTCAGCACAGAAAACCCAGCCTGAGCCAATCAGCGACTTAGCAAGGCCCTATCTTGAAATAAAAATTAAAAGTAGGTTTAGATAAAATGTTCCCCAAAGCCTCACTACCTGACAGTGACTGGGTCATGGGGAGGCTATACTGGATGTGCTCCAGAAGGTGGGGCCTGCTTGGACGCAGGTCGCTGGGCTGGGAGAGGGTGTGTCTTTCCCTAGCTCCGCCCCTCATCCGGCGCCCTTCCCAGCCACCATGGTGTGAGCAGCTTTCTGCCTTACGCCCTCTGCCATGCTATTTGTGTCAACTGTGGACCAATTGTGAGCCAAAGTAAGCCTCCTCTCCTCCCAATTATCTCCGCTATTATGTCCCAGAGACGAGAAAGTGACTATGACATTTCAGTATTAAAAAAACCACTGCACCATGCTGCCCTTTTAAACCTGTGGAAGGAACGCTTTTACTGGAAGGAAGTCTAGGTGCCTGAGCCTTAAGGATGATGTCTGCAGAGCTGGCTGAAAGGCCCGAGCATCTCCTGTGGAGAAACACCACCGGGAAGGTGCAGGCTCGCCACACTCTCAGGTCTCCTCAGATGGGTCTAAACTCCAAGTGGAAGGGCTGGCCAAATAGCTTGGTGGATAAAAGCACCTGCAAGCAGGTGCAGGGGCCGGGGGTTTGATCCCTGGGCCTGCTGTGCCAGCTCTGCCCCCCGGGGTGCACTGAGACAGTAATTGAGACTGGGCGTGGTGGTGCATGCCTGTAATCCTAGCTCTTGGGAAGCTGTAAACAGGCAGTTCACTGTGAGTCCAATCTAGTATTGAGACCCTGCACGCCCTGCAGACCCTTGCCTAAACTACAATAAATTCTAAAATCCCAGTGCAATGTCCCATAAGACCCTAAGTGCTCTGAAGGGTGCACGGATGCCCAGGGCATGCAGAAGCTGAGGGAGGCCGCAGCCTCTTAGAATGCTGCACAGAGACTGGGTGGACCCAGAGCTAGAAACGCAGAAACAGCCTGGGCAGAAGCCAGGTGGGATGCTGCTGCTGGCAGCAGGGACAGACTGGATGAGCCAAGGGCTGTGGAAGCCATGCTGCCATCCTCAGGAAGAGCTAGTCGAATCCCACCTCACGCCACAGGCAAACCGATGCTCCCCACCCGACTCTGCAAAGCACCCATCTGACCTGGCCACTGCCCAAAGACCCTTGTTAGCATCACGCTGGAAGAAGCGGCACCATTTCTAGTTTCAGAGCCACAGGAGTGAGTACATACTTTGATGGCTGGTGGGTAGTCTTTGAAAATCTCCACCACTCTCATCACGCTGAAGGACAGGTACCCAGAGGCCGTGAACAGCAGCGGGGATGTGAGGCTGCTGATAGCGATCAGCACCTCCACCTGGTTGGAAAGCAGGTCCAGGGAGAGAGGGTGGATTATAGTCGCCGGGGTGCACACAGCACCAAGCTTCTGCCCACTGACTGCAAGCACACCGGGGGCAGGGCCTTCATCACCACAGATGCAGAGGCCACACGGCCCTGGCGCGGGCGCGAAGCTCACCTGGCAGAGCACTGCCTCCCAGTCAGCCGTGGTCCTCGCAGCAGCAAGCAGCGAGACTACTGGGCCCATCCTCCCTCTCTCCTTAGTGTTGGGAATTTTTTCTGCCACACACATGTGGGCGCAGGCGCGCATGCACACACATACACGCGCACACACTCTTTTCAAGATGGCACCAATGCAGGGGCCCCGGGGACAGTGGCTTGGCCTTCACGGGTGGAGGTGCCAGCATTAGCCCACCCAGCTTGCTGGCCTCTCTGCCTGGCCCTGCCTGCGCCCCTGCAGCTGCCCATACAGCTGGAGCCTTGTCCTTGGCACCATGGCAGGGACAGTCCCCCACCTACCAGACACCTGCTGGGACACTCTGCTGCCACATGGCTGGCGATGGCACTCGGAAAGCACTAGGAGAGAATGAAAAGGAAGGACTAAGGAGCACGTCAGAGTCCAGGTTTGTGGCTTCCACTCTAACATGACACCCCTCCACATAGGGCAGGACAGGTAGCCTGGCTGGTCTCCAAGTGGTGAGAATCGGGGTTCGCTTATATCGGCTCTGTGGACTCATGTTTCTCAAGTGCTTACTTAAAACCTTAGGCCTGCCAAAAAGCTGCATGAATGGGCCAGTGCCCCTCGGAGCCCCAGAGCCACATCTGTGCCCTCTGCGCTCCGCCTCACGCCAGTCACCCATGGGGTTGTACACGGGGACATCCTCACATGCCGTGAGCTACCACAGCTGGTGAACATGGGTTTAGCAGCCAGCTCCAGCATGCCCGTGTTCAAACCCCCCACTGTCCCAAGGTGTGCTTTCTAGGACAATTATCCCCTGACCCAAGCCCCAAGGAGTGACCGCTGTGTGCCCTGTGATCTGTCTCCACCCCGGGATGTGGCCTCTACAACCCTCTCACTGTTTGGTCGTTTCTGAGGGGTATGGCCCCTGGGCACAGACTCTTTACTGAAGAGGCAGCCCCTCTTGGTGATGCGTCTTGGGCACCCTCTCCCCAGGATTCCGACAAGATCACAGGCTGGGGTAACACCTCTCCCCTCTGCAAACCAGAAACCTGTCATTTTAGGGCTCTAGCTCAGGTGTACACAGAAGGCACAGTGAGGATGCCAGGAGGTGGTTGGGACAACCGGAGGCTTGAACATGGGCATGCTGGATCACTCCCCCAGGGTCCACCTCTCCGAGCCCTGCTTACTTGAGGGAGCCCGGGATGCACGGAGGACGCCACCACGTCCTCCTCATTTCTGTACAATGCTGGGCACCAGACACCAAACTAAAAATCATTGCAACAGACAGCAGCATGGGACAAACCAGTGGGACAGCAGGTGCAAAGTCTGCAGCGCAAGGCACAGAGAGACGGGTCTGGGAGCGACATGTGACAGGTGGAGGAGTCACTCCGGACCAAGCACGATGAAGGACGTCAGGAGCCCAGACCTGGCTGTGGCCACGGCTAAGGAGAGCACTCTGGGCAAGCTTCTTGCGCACTGAGCAACACAAGGCTGCAGATGAGCTCCAAGGGCAGTGACGGACAGGACCGGGGCCGCGTGACAGGACAGCAGGGTGTAGTGAGGTGCACTCCAGTGCTAGCACTGTGCTACGTGTTTGCTATAGCTATACTTAGTAATTGTAATATGCTGTTTTATAAAACTTTATGTTATAAAATTGTCTAGACTAAAGAGAACTTTGGTTTTTAGAAAAGTAATAAAAGTGATATGAGACAGTAACAGCAGTTAGTACAAAAGCGTATACTGACTCACCCTGCTGGACAGGACGGGGGCCAGTGGGTCCCTCTCAGGATGCTGACTTGGTGCCCCCCCCCCAACAAGCTCACTAAGTAGCCACGCCTGCCAGATCTGAGAAGGAAGCCCAGAATGGCAGCCACCAGTCGGGAAGTACGCACGGCCACCAAGATCCAAAAGAAGGTCACTGAGAGGTGTGGGCCTGAGACAGCATTGTCCACATTCAGGGCGATGACCCCACCGAGGACAGCAGAGATGCCAGCAATCACCTCGACCACCTGCAGGGGCAACAGGGCAGTGTCACCTTGCTGGGCCACCACACCAAGAGTCTATGCCTAAGGAGCAGGCTTGGGTCCCCAGAATACAGCATGCAGATGTCTACCTCCCAGGGCCAGAGTGGCTAGCAGGCGCCACACTCTCAGGCTGATGGGAAAGCCTGAGGCAGCCTGGGACAGTGGCTGGAGCGACCCTGGCCTGCAGCTGGGCTCCCTGCAGAGCCCAGTCCCAACCTGACCATGAGGCCACAGGAACTCCAGCTGGGGGCGGACCAGTCACCAGGCCTGCCTGTGTTCAAAGCCAAAAAACCCACAAAGGTGAAGAAGAGCAGAACCCCTGCCTGACAGCAATCCCGACAGGGATAGAAACCTCCAGACGCTGGGAGCTCACAGCAAAGGCCAGCAACGGGGCCACTGCTGACCATGGAATTGCCAGGTGCTCAGGGGAAACCACCGCCTGGAATGCTGGGCAAAACTTCCTCCCAAGAATGCGGGAAGACTGCCCAGGATGAAGGTGCACACTTGGAACCGCAGCCCTCAGGAGATTGAGGCAGGAGGACTGCCATGAGTTTGAGACCAGCCTAAGCTACAAAGCAAGCTCAAGGCCAGCCTGAACTGCATAGCCAGACCCTGTCTCAAAAGGACAAAGAAAAGAGAGGAAGACAGCAAAACATAAAATGCCTGTCAAGACCACGGAGCATCTAAAGGGACTGCTTGGAGTAGAAGAAAGCAGCACAGAAGAGATGGTGGGACACTGGAACGGCGAGCACAGAGTGGCAGCGTGATGGGCGATGCAGAGGAGGAGGAGGCTGGGGTGGAGGGAGGCCAGGAAGAGCAGAAGGCAGGACGACAGCCATCACAACCTCCAATAGCTAGATCCAAAGGGCTAGGGAGAGAACGACAGATGTGACCAAAAACGAGAGCTCTGCTCGACTTGTAGGAAACACACCAGACTTCAGGAAGGGTCAGAAAAGTAAGTCCGGGGCCAGGGAGAGGGCTCAGTAGGATAAGCGTTTGACTGGCAAATGCAACGATCTGAGTTCAATCCCTGGTTCGGCCAAAAAAAAAAAAAAAAAAAAAAAAAAAGTAAGTCAGAAGGAGAAGATACGTCAAGCAAGCAGTAACGAAAAGACGGCCAATGGGCTTCAGTCAGGACGGACGTTACACGAAAAGCACATTACTAAAGATTAAGAGGAGGGGTCCTACACGATGATGACAAAAATTAAAAAGGGAATAAATCTACGCTTGTTTGAAACTCCAAAATGGACTCCAAAATCTATGTCAGAAAGTGGCAGAATTACAAAGAAATCAGTAGCACCACGCTCATATTGGGCGGTTTATAACCAATCTTTCACTAAGGGCACAAGTAAACCAAAACCAAAAAGCAAACAACAACAAAAGGCTTTCGAGACAGAGAGGATGACAGGAGGAAGCAGGCAGAACCCCCCCATGTGTCCTCAGGGGCCAGCTGGCCACCGCACCAGCACATCCGGGTCTCACTGAACTGGAAACCCCTGCTCACCACGGGCACCAGCATCTTTTAAGGCCAAGGATCTTTTGTCAACAGCGCTGGGATGGGCTGAAACCTTTCGCAGTGGGGGCTGGGGTCTCACACCCGGGGTCTACACTGTGCCCGCCATCCTCGTGCCTACAAGGGCTTTATCCAGCCGCCCGCACACCCTCCCAGTAAGCTAAAATAAGATAAAGAAGAAAAGGGAAGCTTAGCTCACAGAGTAGGACTTCAGAAGCCGAGCAGGAAAGGCCACTTCATCCAAAGTATGGGTGCTGTCAGAGACAGAGCCCTGGAGAGACATAGTCACGCTGAGCCACCCAGCACGGGGTCCTGGGGCGTCTGCTGGGTGGAAGTGCCTGGCCGCCACGTGAGGGTCAGCCAGCCCACACCAACATGGGTCAAATCACAGAGACTACGCTACAGCCACAGGTGGCGTGAGCAGATTCGGTCTCTCCCTGTGATGCCACTGTGGCCTGTGAGGTGTGGCCGCACAGGGAGAGACCGTGCACTTGTACCATGGCCACCGGCTGCACCCGTGGCAGCCCCCGCTGTGGCCGCAAGGCACGTGAGGACCCCTGAGCACCCACCTTCTTCTTCCCGCAGGGCTCCTCACTTGAGCGTGCTGAGATGATGACAGTGGCCGCCATGAGAAGCTCCAGCAGAAGGAGCAGGATGAGGTTGAAGTTTATCTGCGGGGGGGGGGGGGCAGAGAGATGGCTCAGTGGAATAAGCACTTCCCTGGCAAGCACAAGGGCCTGAGTTCAATCCCCGGTTCCGCAAAAAAAAAAAAAAAAAAATTATATCTGCAAAGGGGACGGTGGGGGGCTCGGCCTCACCAGAAGGCAGGCCCCCCCACCCTGAGGCTCCTCCCCAAGCCTGGGCTTCACACCCTCTCCCTCTGGTGTGGATGCCCTTGACCCCAAGCTCTCCCTTCCCCATCATCCTGGCAGCTGCTCTGTGCACACAGGGCTTCCGAGGGCTGCAGAACAACTCCGGCTCCCGACGTGAGCACAGGCGCACGAGTGCATTCCTGCTCGCTCACCAACAGCCACGAGGAGCTGCAGTCGGGCTGGGAGTGCTTGCCTGTAACACATGGCCCAAGACCTGATTCCCAGCAGCACCCAACAGCACAAGTAAATAATACAAAGTCACTCTGATAATTTTAAAAATAAAATTTAAAAGAATATAGAAACATTCAACTAATAATAGTGCCTCAAAGTACGTAAAGTAGCTGGGTATCGTGGCCTATGTTTTGTAATCATAGGTACTCAGGAGGCTGAGGCAGGAGGATCTCAGGTTCAAGGCCAGCCTAGGTAACTCAGGAAGACCCTGTCTCAAAATTAAGTTAAAAAGTCCAGGGATGCAGCTCAGCAGTGAGCTACAACCTGCTTGGTACATCCAAAACGTGAAGGATGGCTGGGTGACTCCTTGAAGGAGGGGGATTGTCACCACTGTGGCTGAGCCTGGCCCTTTTCCCACGTACTGACATGTGCAGAGCTGGTCAGGGCTTTCCCTTATCCCTTCAGTTGGCCTTAAGCAATGCAACTGGTCCAGCTGAGGTGCCGACATGTAGTCTTTAAAGCAAAGACGATAGGGCAGCGCTTTCCTGCCCTCCTAGCCTCTAACTACACACATGGGAGCCCCAGTGGGACGGAGCGCTGTGCTCCACACCGCCAGCTGGGATCAGCCTTGAGATGGAGGCTGCGGCCTCCCGGGGCACAGAAGACCACGCGCCGGAGCTGAGGCCCCGACCTCTAGACACCGGCCATCGCCGCAGCTGTGCCATGCAGCTCCCGTTCTGCAAGCCCTCCTCTGCATACTGCGGAGCTGGTTTCAGGCCTCCTACCTAGCCTAGCACTCACCCACTCCCTGCCACTCTCAGTCACTCAGCCTAGAGCCTCACTCCTCTTCATGACTTCACAAAACCCAGGTCTGGCCCTGAGTCTAGTTCTCAGCTCCAGTTAGCCACATCCCAGCTGGACTTAGGACCTCTGGGCTCGCGACAAGTACAAATACGCCTCAGTGTCTCACCACAGGTTGCACTGGAAGTGATAGATTGGAAAGAACTCACTAGAATTCCTATAACTTCTTCTCTGTGGAATTACAAATACAAACTTCCTGGGCCTTGACGAGGACCAGAAGGGCTCTCTGTAAACCATCATGCCCAGAAGAGGAGAAAGTGAGGGGTCTTCAGCTCTGCCACCCTCCCGTGAGGAACGGAGGGGCTGAGGACGTCAAGGCAGGAGAAGCTGGGCACAAGGCCACAGGCTGGTGCGGGTGTTCAGCAGAGCCACGCTCTGGGCGACTGGCCAGCACAGGTACGGCAGGAGGCAAGGCCACATTCCTGACACTGAAGGTGCAAAGAACGCGTCGGCTGGTATGGAAGTGGTGCCGGGTGCAGGCCTCCAGGCCTCCTACCAGTGCGACGCAGGCACCCCCGCACCTGGGAGCCTGGAGAGGGACAGGTTCCACACGCCCAGGACGAGATGGAGCGGACGGTGAGAACAGGGCACTCTGCAGCCAGGTGCCCGGGGCACATCCTCAAGGGAACTGGGGACAGGCTGGCAGGTCAACAGGGGCGTGCAGAGTGGCACACCGGGCCTCGGGCCTACCCTGCACAGACAGAACCATGTCCTTGGATGTCCTACCCACCACCTACATCTGTGTCCTCCAACCAGACCATCTCTGAGCTTGGGTGGTTCAAACTCCACATTCTTGAGGGTCCCCACCTGCCTGAGGTGGCTGCTGCTCAGGGACCCTCAGAGCTCTCTGTGGCCAGGGCCACTGGGGATGCTGATGCCTGGCCAGGTGGAGCAGAGGCTCTGCGGCTGCGAGCTCTGGGGGACTGCCGGGGCACAGGCCCCGCAGAGCATGGTCAGGCAGACGCAGCCCTGTGCGTCTCCCCCCATGGTTGTCTCCCACCTGTGCACTCAGGCTCTGGGCGAAACCTGGGCATCTGTGTTGGGTTTCCGCTGACAGGCACTGCTGTGATGACCTCCTGGTGGACACTTCCTGGTAGAGGCACTGGAGCAAAAGCTCCAGGCTCTGTGCTTCAGAATGTACCTGCAAGTCCTGCTAGTTTCCAAAGGGCCAGGGGTGGGCATTAGGTCACCTGGACAGGAGCTGAGCCTTTGCGCTAGCAATGGGCAGCCACACGCCCTCCTTGCTACAGCCCAGGAGCGCTGCCCCAGCTGTAGCTTGCCAGGCAGCTTCCTCCCCCAGCACGCTTCTCCCTGCAGGGGCAGACTGCCCCAGGTGCCCTGGGCTACTCCTCCCTCCGTCACTCTTCCTTGTGTCTGCGGGGACAGACAGTCTCTCCTCGGTGTGCCTTTACCACTCAGGGACCTTCCTGGCAGAGGAAGGCAGAGGTGCATCACCGGGGACCTGTGGCCCTCGCTTATGTCCTGGGGCGCCAACTGTGGTCCACAAGTGTTGGACAGCTCCGGGGAGACCCACCAGACTGCTCCCCCACCCTTCACCACACCTATCCTATTTTACAGATGATTTTCTATTAATCTTAGTTGTAGAGGGTACGTGTCCCCAGCTTAGTCTTCAAGGGGCCTCGGCTGCAGGGATGTTCGCTTAAGCTCCTCCCTGTGACACAGGCCCCTGCTTCTGTTGCCCTCTTATGTCCAGGATGACTGTAAGAGAGTGGTGTCACATCTAACAGTCTGGGGACTCTCTTGTCAGCTGTTTTCCCAGGAACTGAACTCACATATACTTAACTCTGTATAATGGTATCTGTATTTAGATTTCAAATTTTGTTGTCGGTACAGTTGAAGTTGTACTAAGCTTCATATCTAGTAACTTTGCCACATGCCCTTTAAAACCCCAGCATCAGGTAAGCAGGCACCATCTCTACCTGCATGGCCAGCTGGGGATTCCTTCCATACTCTCAAACTTTCTTTTTCTTGGCTTATGAGACTGCTGAGAATATCTTGTTTTCAGTGAGATTTCTCCTTGGGCATTATACTTTGAGTATGTTTTCCCACTTTTTGTAGTAGCACATAGAATGCCTATGTCTCATAATTAATAGGACCGCAGATTTGATGAAATATGTGGTTATTATTATTATTATTTTTTTTGTAGTGCTGGAGGGGTGTGTGTGTGTGTGTGTGTGTGTGTGTGGTACTGGGGATCAAACCGCACCAGCAAGGCAGGTGCTTATGCTGCCGAGCTATCTCCCCGGTCCTAACGCTGGAGTTTTTCCTCCAGGGCCAGGCAAGTGCTCTACCACTGAGCTACACCCTCAGCTGTTATTGTTAATATTTAAGAACTGTTGTGGAAGATACATTAAAATATTGTTTATCAATTAATTTCCCTACTGGAATTAAAAAGAGTTCATTCGATGGAAACAATACTTTTCTTTGGGAACACAAGTAAAATCCTCAACCCTTGTCAAGCTCAATAACTAAGGATTTGCTGCCCATTTCCACCTTAGCCAGCAGCAGCCCCCCACACCCCAGTGAGCAGAGCTGGTAACGTCAGTGTGGGAAGACACAGTCCCCACAGAGCAGGAAACCTACCCCAGCGCAGTGACTCACGTTTATTGCCGATGGGTTCAGAATGAGTTTGCATCCAAACCAAATCAAGCAGGTAGTGGTGACGGCGAATGTGGAAACAAACAATATCTGAAAGTTGGGAATCTGAAAGGCAAGGTGGCAGGGGTTCCCTCTTTGCACAGCTGAAGGAGGGAAGGTGACATCTGCTGAATTCCAGGTTGCTGAAACTCTGACTGACCCCAGGACCTGAGGGTGGGGGTGCCCTGCTGGAGGAGGGCATGGCTCTGGAACCCTGGCGCCCACCTCCTCACCAAACCCGTCTTGTGCGGAGCTCCCTCCAGGTCTGCAGAGGGCAGGAGGCCCCACTCACCACATTCATGTTGCTCCTGGAAACAGCAAAGCTCACAATCGCCGAAGGGAGACACTAAGGAGAAAGCAGAGCCCAGTGAGCCGCTGCTCCCAGCACTGTGCTGGCCCAGGGACAGCCTGAAAACACGGTACTGCAGAGCCGGGCACAGCTCAGTGACAGGACACTTGCTGGGCAAAGGCTTGTGCCGTCCCCACCAAACATTCGTCTAATAATAATGCACCGCAACGTTCACGCTTCTGGAATCATCTGAGTCATGCTGCTGGCAGACAAGCATTGGTGTGGCCAGATGCTTCATACAGGGGTTCTGCTTGACCTTGATGGTCCCCAGGTACCTCAAGGTAATTTATTCTTTAAAAAATTCAGGGCCAGGGAGACAGCTCAGAAGAATAAACACTTGCCTGGCAAGCTCGAGGTCCTGAGTTCAATCCCTGGTACCAAAATAATAATAATAATAATAATAATAATAATAATAATAATAATAAAATAAAATTCAGTAAGTGTTTGGGCTGGGGAGATGGCTCAGTAGAATAAGCACTTCCCTGGCAAGCACAAGGGGCTGAGTTCAATCCCCAGTTTGTTCTGAAAAAAAGAAAAAAATTCTAGCTGGATACACTTGAAAGTCAGGATTAGGCTGACTGACTTATTGATTGATTGATTGATTATGGTGGGGAGGGTGCTGGGGGCTGAACCCAGGGCCTTACACTAACCCACATCCCCAGCCCCTTTTATTTTTAATTTTGAGACAGGGTCTCTCTAAATCTTGAGTGCCACCACACCCAGCTCAGAATGTGCGGTGCATGCGCAGAGCCAGAGATGTCTCGGCTGAAGAGTGCCCGGAAGGAGCAAATGTCTGCATGGAGAAAGGGGAAGGAGCTGTCCCTTCCAGTCTGGGACCCCACAGCCTAGGGCTCCTGCCCAGGCTATGCACTCGCACTCCGCTGTGACTCCTGAGCAGGACCAAGGGCCAGCGGAGGCTGTGATCGGAAGTGGGAGGGGAGGGACGCGGGCCACACTGACATTACTGTGGACAAAGAAACCCCAGGCCCTGAGGAGGACAGAGGTCAGGAAGCCCTGGAGGGTGGCAGAAGGCCGAGCTGCAGCTGGAGGAGCAGGGCTGGTAGCCAGGATAACGGATAGTTGCCCGGACAGAGCACGGCCGTTTGAGGGTGTGGGGCTGCCTAGGCCCGCATTCAGACATCTCTGTAACCATCAGGGGCTGTGTGGAGGCGAGGACACAGGTTCTGGAGGACGGTGGGGAGGTCTAGCCCACCAGGAGCTCTGTTCTGAAGGCTGACAGATGATCCCCAACAGCAGAGTCCTGCTAGTTTGCTCAGCTGCACCAGGAGGCAGCTGCAGGTTGAAACCAAAACGCCACTGCAGGGCTTGGCAGAGCAAGGTGCAGACCTGCCTCCCGGGTGTCAGTGCAGATAAACACTCCATCGGACTAAAGTCACACAAGGGAGTTCTGAATGAGGAACAAATGACAGAAACCCACAGGTGCCAGTGCACAGGTGTCAAGCACAGGCCAGGAGCCAGGTCCTGGCAGCATGGTTGAGGGGCGGGGCTTACCGAGCCAGCTGCGCAGCGCAGGTAGTCCATCTCAGAGGGAAACACGTTGCCCAGATACAGCGAGAAGCCTGAGGTCACCAGGAGGCAGCTCTGCAGACGGCAACAGACAGGGAGGGAGCACCAGCAGCACGACACACCCGCGACGTCTGCCCCAGAGCACCTGCCTACCCGGGACTCTTCTCTGAGGACTGCTGTCACCCGGCCATGACCCAGACGTGGGCCTCCCTCCCCCATGCCAGCACTGGGACTGCCAGTGCTGCCCGGGAGAGAAGGGGAAGGTTGCTGTCAAAACTGAAAGCAAGGAATGGCTCCTCTCCCCCAAAAGGACCCTCACCCTAACTCACATGACTTCTAGGGCTTCAGGACCCACCCGGCCCGCCCTGCTCCCTCTGCAGAAGTGTGCACACGGACCTCCAGAAGACGTCTACATGGCCAGGACACATCCCACCCAGGAGGAGCCAAGCCTGGGCCAGGCGGCCACGCACTCACCCCCATCAGTACAGAGAACACCCAGGTCTTGTAGCTGAGGCACGGGGGCAGCCTCTTTGACAGCTGGAGGTCCTTGGGCTTCGTGTCAGCGCTGAAGCCACCTGGGTCCTGTCGCCCCACATCCGGCCGCCCCCGCTCCAGTGTGGGCACCCGGTCATAGCCCAGCTCCTCCCGGAACTGCCCATCTCGTGTCATGGCACTGGGGACAGGTGCTGGGACAGGTGGGGGAATCAAGTCACACCTGCTGCCCACTCAAGAGTTACCAAGTTATCATGGACTCTCACCACCGAGAACTTCCTATTGCAAGGAGTTGGTTTCAAGAAACTTTAAAAAAACACAAGGAGGTATTGGAGGTATCAGTCACATTGAAGTGACAGGAATCTAAAGAGAAAAATGAACACCTAATTCTAAAAAGTAAATAAATCTCTTTCTCAGGAAGACAGACCTGAGTCTGCACTCAGGGCTGAGTTTGGAGTTTACCTGGGTCACTGACACCGGCCTCAGGTACGAGGCTTTCCCACCTCCATCAGCAACTCCCTACATAAACGCCAGGCCACCTGGGGACTCGCTGCCTGCCATCAGCTGACCAAGCGATCGGGCGTCTCCCCTCCGTGGGCCTTCACGCCTGTGTGCTTACCTCTGCTGCCGCCCGGCTGTCTGGAGCACCAGGCTCTGGGAGAGGGGCTTCTAGCGAGAACTATTCACAAACGAAATAAAAGCTCAGCAGAGCTGCGCTCAAGCCAGGGAGGGCCCGCGTCCTGAATTTCAATGAGGACCCAGCAAGCGGGTCCCAGAAACGTTCACACTGGTTGTGTAACCACCAGCTCAGGCTGTCCTCCCCAACCCTGCAGCGTCCTCTCGGGCCCCTCATCACAGACCTGCTGGACAGGTATCTAGGAGTAGGACAAGTGGCTGCGAGCAAGCCCCCACATACCAAATGCTGGCCAGCCCTGCGCCCACGCTGGTAGCTTGGCCCAAGCTCTGGCCTACATCTCTTCCTGCAGCATTTCTCAGCCTCCATGACCCTGCAGAGGAAACCTCCTTCCCAAGGTCCCATGGTCCCTGCGTTCTCGAGGCTGGGCTGGCCAAGCTGCTTGGGATTCCACCCAGCCGTTCCCGGGGCAGCCCTGAGGGCTGGCCGGCACCACCCGGCTGTGCCCTTTATTCTTGCCCACTGGGCAGAGAAAAAGGACATGAATGTTTTCCACGCAGAAACACTGGCACCCTGGCAGCTCCAGCAACAGTTTCTTTGTGCACATTGCAAAAAGCCTCAGACCAACGTGCTTTAAAAAACCAGTGAAAACCAGCTCCTTAAGTCACAAATCCACATCAAACCTGGGCACAGCCATCAGCTTTCAAATCACAGAGGTTTGGCCACCTTAGCTTTTCAACCAAACAAGGAGGATGAGAAGTAATTCGCCAACTATCGCCTGTGGTGTCAAGAATTTTTTTGAAGACACAGAGATCTCTCCTGAACATCTACAGTGAATTTTAAAGCAGCCAACAGAATCAGTGGGAATTGGGCCAAAGGAGCTGAGCCCTTCTGTTTTTTTTTGTTTGAAGAAAAACATCAAGTGGATTTTAACCATTTTTTTGTGCCTTTCAAAAGTTACTTTTTACTAAGAAATGCAAATAAGCTGCCTCAAACCAGGAGTACCAACCAAATTCTACAAGGTCCAAGCCTTGAGTAGTCATTGAGCAGTTGTCTTCCCTGCTGGCATTCACACTGGTTTCTAGTTCTTTTTAAATTAATTTTATTGACAAATAGCAATGAGACAGTTTCAAAACCTATTAGGAGGACAGTTTCAATAATTAATACATTGCATCTTGTTGTCTTCGTAGTGATTATTCATAGTACAAGATGCAGACATGATATCTTGTCCAAACATTGTTAGTACAAATCTTTCTTTTCATTGAATTAAGAGAAAGTAGCTGTATATCTATCTTTTCTGTGTAAATATATGTAATTGTTTATCCCTGTTTTTTTTTAAAAAAAATTTGTATTTTTTTCTTCACATTCTGTAGGATTTAAAGTTTAACATATCAATACTTGATGGAAAATACTTGTTCCATGCTATGTCTAAGATGTCTGATATTCACACAGATAGTGAGGTCAAGCTCAATGGCCTCTGTCATAGTGCAGTAATATCATTAAGCTTCTCTTCTGGAGGGTTAACACACTGGTTTCTAAATAGTCCTGTTCTTTCACATGACCGTCAACTAACTGTCATTCTCTGTCTGCTGAGTCCTAACCACTTTCCTAACTTACACAGCCAAGGCATGCTGAAGGCCATGACAGGAGGTGGCAGAGCTGCAGGCTTGGCAGGTACAAAGGCCCCGGGGCAGTAGGGCTAGGGCTGGAAAGGAGGTACAGGATCCTGAAGGGTGGGATGCAAGGCGAGAGACACCTGTGGGCATGGAGATCACGTGGCTTTGACAGACACGCATGTGCTGATGGGGAGCAGGTGTTGGCTGGCACTGAGGTGTGATGGGAGGAGACCCAACCCTGGATGGCTCTGGAAGGGCCAGCACCATCTGTGGTTACAGACATGGGCTGAGTTCAAAATGCCAGAGCTGGGCAGGCCAGAGCAGGGTCATAGTGTAGACTTGACAGGGTTGTAGTGTCTGGGGCGTGTTCGCAGGGGTGCCTGGGTCCAGCGCTCAGGGATAAGCCTGTTTCATGGTCCTCACAAGAAGCCAGACCATGACTCCCAGCCACCACTCTGCACCCGCTTCTCTGGGGACATCTCTTTCACCAAATACCACACCCCAAGTCCTTTGCACTAAATGAACACCCCCAGCTACCGCCTGGTGGTGTTTCCTAGGGGCTCTAGGCATGATGGCTTCCTCCTGGCTCTCAGGGCATAGGCCCAATAGAGCTGATCCAGCAAAATAAAGACCTCCTGTTCAGAGCTGAACTGGAGCGCAGCAGCAGCAGGATACGCTGCCTAGGTGAAGCTGGCGCTCTCAGGCCAGAAGCCTCAGTGCATTTTTAAAGACAGAAACCATCCAGACTTTTTTCTTTGACCACAACCAAATTACACTGGAAACCAGAGACAGAAATTCATCAGGAAGATCCCCAAATATTTGGAAATTAAACAACGTACCTCAAAAACAAAAGTTCCATGTAAGTCAAAGGAGAAGTTACACGGGAAATTGAAACAAAATGAGAATACAAGCATAACTTTGTGAGATGCAGCTAAGTTAGCTGAAAAAGAAACTTAGTTTTAAATGCTTATGTTTTAAAAAGACAGTTCCAAAATGAAATATCTAATTTTCCACCTTAAAAAGCTGGAGGAAAAATAAGCACAAATTAAACCAAAATCTAAAAAGTAAACTGTGAGAAATAAAAATCACTGAAACAATACATTGTGTACACAATAAAGATTCATGACACCAAGAGGTGCTTTTAAAAAATAAACGATAATAAAATTGAGATGAATTCAGCTGCTCAAGGAAAACCAGAGAAATGATTAAATTACCAATATCAAGAACGAAACTGACTCATACACCCTTTAAAAAATAAGAAGGCCCTGGAGCTGTGGTACATGCCTCTAATTCCTAGGAGGCTGAGGCAAGAGGATGGAAAGTTGAAGCCCAATCCGGGCAATTTAGCAAGACCCTGTCTCAAATTAAAATATTTAAGTGGTTGGGGATGCATCTCAGGGCAAGGACCTTGGGTTCAGGCCCAGAAACACACACACACACACACACACACACACACACACACACACACACACACGGGAAATCTTATGAGCCACTTTATACTCTTGATTTCACAAGCTGGATGAACAAACTCTTAAAAAAACCCAATTACCAAAGTTTGCTCAAATTGCATTGTTTAACTTGTAGTTAACTTTCCTGCAAAGAAAGACGCCAACCCCACACAGATTCTCTAAATTTGATGACGATTAATTAAACTAACCCAGGCATCACCCTCCACTGCAGGACAAATCCCTCGCACATTGCAGAGCCCCCCGCACTCTGTGCGGCTCTCCGCCCACCCACGCCAAAAGCCCCGCCCGCCCACGCCAAAAGCCCCGCCCGCCCACGCCAAGCCCCGCCCGCCCACGCCAAAGTCCCGCCCACCCACGCCAAAGTCCCGTCCAGGTGGCGGGATGCTACACGGCTCCCCCACCCCCAGTCTATCTCTCCCACAAGGCATCACGCGTTCCCTCACGTACTGACACAGCTAACGGTCCTAGCAAGCCCCACTACCCTAATTGGCCAAAGCAGCGGGAGGTGGGGGGAGGTGCGCCGCTCCCATTGGCCAAGGCCGATGGTAGGCGGGTGCAGGCGTAGACGGGGTCCTCCCATTGGGGGGAGAGAGAGGCCGCGTGCAGGCGCCTTTGGCGGGCAACTGGGGCGAACAGGAGCCATGTTGCGCCTCGCGGCTAAGCTGATGGCTTTCTTCTGGAGAAGAGAAGACACCCTAGAGGAGGACCAGTGTCCAGGGCAGGAGCTCGTGGGAGGTGCGCGTGGAGTGAATGGGGCCCCTGCAGACATCTGTCACCCCCAGGGTCCTCCAGTGCGCGCAGAACGGGGCGGGCGGGCGGGCGGGCGGGCGGACGTGGGGAGGGGGTCGTGTTTGCAGCACCCGAGCAGGCCAGGACGGAGGTCCAGGCCTGCGTGCGCCTTGTCTGCCGGCTGGAACACGCAGAGCACTCTGCCTTGACACCGCCCCAGTGGGGTGCCAGTGTCATCCTGTCGCTGGCCTCACGTCACCCGCAGAGCGCTGAGAAGCGCAGTCCCATCCTCTTTGCCGTCGGTAGCACCCCGGGACTCCAGAGCCCCTTTCTCTTCTGGTCTGGGACTCGGATTCAGGGAGAAGTTTCCGTTGCTTTGTCTCACCTGTATAAGAGTCAGAACAGCCACAAAGGACACCAGAAATAGCAATAGGGACCAGATGTGTGGTTGGCACACATCTGTAATCCTAGCACTCAGGAGGGCTGTATCTTTACAGATGGCGTGGGAGGCCAGCCTGGGCTACATTATGAGACCCTGTGTCCAAAAAACTATTTATATATATGTCTATCAGGAATGAAGCTGATAAAATTGAAGCTACATGTAGAAGGCCATCTGTGTGTAGACAAGCCAGTGCCGCTAACCCGCCTAAAGCAAGTCACCTCAGGTGTCAGTAGAGTGGACCTGGGCTTTCAGTGACATCCTGAGCCCAGCTCCCTGCAGCACTAAGCTTCCTCAACCAAAAGGTGACCTGAGCACCAGAGGCATCCTATGACAAGGGGCAGAGAGCGTGCAGCTCCAGATTCTCGATGAGTGGCTTAGTCACCTTCCAGTGACTGGGACCCAATACTCAGAACTTAAAAGAAGAAAACGTTTATTTGGCACAAGGTTTCCAGGGAGTTCAATCCATGGTCAGCTGAACCAAGGCAGGAATCTGCCACTGGGTAGTGGTAAAGGACCAGGCAGAGGAAAGCTGCTTGCCATGGCAGCCAGGAAGCAGAGAGGAGCCCTGGAAGAGAATTTGCTTCCAGGTCACACCCTAGTGACCACCTCCAGCCAGGCCCCGCCTCCTAACAACCCAGTCAGCCATGGGTGAGCATAGCACCCTGCGACTCAGTTACCTTCTGAACACGCAACACCCTCAGGGAACACAGTTCATCTAAACCATAATAGTAGGTCACAGAGCCTGACAACCTGCACAGTTCCTGGGCCAGGTGCGCCTTTCCACACACTCTGCTTTGTTTATTAGCACTTACCCAGTCTCTTGGGGCTGCTGCTGTTGGTATTGATGGTGATGAGGGAAGGTGAGGGTAAAGCACATGCCAAGAACTCCCCAGATGCTCATATAAATCTAACTGGGCTTGCCAGCTCCTCAGAGCTCTAGAGGTACATTGCACATGTGTTCTGTCATGATGGTTGCAGTTTCCATTTTAGAGATGTAAGCTGGCACACAGTGGTTAAGGATCACTGGGATGCTACATGATAGTAGAGTAGCTTTAAATAAAACTCAGGCAGTCTGGCTTTGCAGTCAGGGCTCTCTCACCACCATATCCACGCACCGGTACTCTGAGAACTCAAAAACTACATCCCAACTGCTCCCTTACAGGGTCTCTGTCTCAAGCCCAGCCTATTAGGTTGTGTTTGGGCCTTTATTTGGCGGAGCTTAATTGTAGCGGGCTTGCTTTTGTGGCCAGTGTAACTTCTTTGTTTACCTTACTCAGGTGACACCAGGTTGAAAACTGTGCAGGGTGTCGTGACAAGGTACTGCAGTGATTATGGCATGATTGATGATTTGATCTACTTCTCCAATGAGGCTGTGACTGGCAGTGTGGTTTTGAACGTTGGACAGGAAGTGGTTGCGCTTGTGGAAGAAAATAAAGTATCAAATGGACTGAAAGCAATTAGGGTAAGTCTCTGCTCATCCAGGAGCACTTTCAGCCTCTCACAGGTGGTTGCGGACAAGGAGGGAGCAGCTGGAGTACATGTACACCTTCAGAGGGGAGCTTTTGTTCTTTCTCTTGTCTTTTTTTTGAGACAGGGTCTTACTATATAGCCTGGGCCTTAAACTAATTCTCTGTCCTGTCTCAGCCTTCTGAGTGCTGGGACTACTGTATAAGCCTGTCCCACCATGTCCAGCTTACTTTATTCTTTATATCTTCTACATTAAATCATAGTCATAATAAATCATTGAAACTATAAAAATTATAATTGAGAAGGTAAAGTATGCCTGTAAATTTGTGCCATGGAAATTACTGTCGACAGTTCTTGTCATGTTTTTAAATGTCCCCTCACATAGTGAGTACCATCTCAGGGAGAAGGTACTGCTGGCGTTCTCGTTCCTCTTCATTGAACTGTTATCCAGCATAATCCTTTTTTACATAAAAATAGTGTTCTTGTAGTATTAATTCTTAGAGCCAGGTGTGGTGGCACGTGCCTGTAATGAGAGGCAGGATCACATGTTGGAACCCAACTTGAACATCTTAGTGAGACCTGGAACTAAAATTAAAAATGACAATAAAGGTCTGGGGATATAATATGCTCAGTGTGAAGGCTCTGGGTTCAATCTCTAGCACCAAAATAATAAATTCATTACAGTAGGATTGCTAGGCTAAAGGGTATACCGATTTAATAATTAATGGTTATGATCAAATCTGTGTCCAAATGGTATTCTGCTAGTTTACACTGTCAGGAATAGAATGAAAATGCCTACTATACAAAATTGATTGACAAGTATTATTAAGCTTGGAAATCTTTGCCAATCTAAGAGGTATTGATCTTAGGGTTTTAATTCACTTGTAACCCTTGAAGTACATTCATTTTTTTCCTATGAATTACATTCATGTCTTTTGTTCATTCTTTGCTTGATTTCAGCTTATTAGGGAAATTAGCCCCTTTTAAGAAAAATTGCTACGTGCAAATGTTACAAAAACTTTCCCCAAAAATCATTTTTTTTGACAACTCCCACACCAGAACAGTATACTTTATTGTGTATATTTTGATCCACTATTACTCTCATGTTACGGTTTTCTTAAGTTTTCAAGTGTATAACGTGAAGACATTTTAGATGGGGGATGCACCTGGAAAATAAACTTCATCTCCATACACACATTTCAAAGCTGCTGGGCCCCAAG